ATAAGTCTTGAAATAATCAACTACTCATTCAACCATTTTCATGGAGAGTGATGAGCACAATAGATTTGCTCTCTCAGAGGAGAGCAGCTGAGAATAACAGAGTGGCTTGCAAAGCCTGCTGGATTTTAATGCACAGCTCATGGCACTACAGTAGGAAAATGCAGGAGATGTGCTACATAAGGAACTTGTTTAAAAACAGTTCTTCACTTTTCAAAATCAGGCAGGTTTTGAAGCGTTTGAGCCAAACATTTTCACATGTACTTCGTAGCAGCCTTCCACTGTATGAAGGGGGCCTACAGATGCTGGGGAGGAAATCTTCATTAGGGAGTGTAACGATTGGACAAGGGGTAATGGGTTGAAACTTAAACAGGGGAGATTCAGGTTAGATATAAGGGAGTTCTTTACTGTGAGGCACTGGGATGGGTTGGCCAAAGAACTGGTAAATGCTTCATGCCTGGCAGTGTTTAAGGCCAGGTTAGACGGAACCATGGGGTGACATGGTCTAGTAAGAGCTGTCCCTGCCCAAGGCAGGGGAGTTGGAACTAGATGATCTTGAGGTCATTTCCAACCCTAACTATTCTGTGATTCTATGTATCCCAGTTTACTAAGTAGAAGGAAAACAAAAAACAGAGGAAAGAGGTATCCACATCCAACCAAAACATAAAGACATACCTTTGTCTAAAAAGGAGACTGAGAGAATGAAGGGGATTGTTTAGTTTATGAAAAAAGTTAATATAGTACCTTATCAAACAAAAATCTGCCTGGGTATTTCTGCATAAGTAGAACTGATATGTTTGTCATAATGTAACTCCAGTATTTCTAGCTGTTCAAATTACATTGAAGTACAACACAGATGGACAGTATTATTTCAGCTCTATCTAAACACAGCTGTAAAGAATTTTTTCAGCCAAGGCACTTTGATACCTACAATGAATTAAATTTATGCAGACCCTCTTGGAGTGTCATACAATAAAGAATGGTTTTCAGTCTTTTTAGCCCATGACACCTGTGCTACAAACCATCCGCTCTTATGAGTTAATCACTATTTATGGAAAGTGCCAGTTATGGTCCCTGCCTTTAAGAAATGGGAAAGTCGGTGTAGATGTTGGGATTTAGCTTTTGTTGGCAGAAGTTCCTGAAGAAAAATAGAACAACTTAGTAAGAATATGATATTTAGAGTCATTTTTATCCGTTTCTTGAAGGCTATTTGTTTCACTGTGAGAAGGATTAGACTAGTTTAAATATTAAACTCATAGGCACACATGAGAAGAGAAATAATGGCATTTAGTTTAGGAAACAGGGGAGCAGACATCTTTATCATTACAAAAGAGCGCTGTTGAAAATGCGCAAGTCAATGTAAAATCTTACTGCAGACAGAATACAAAACAAGCTCTGGAAAATCTTGGCTAGACGTCGTTAAAGTTAGTCACAGCGTATAAGCTGGTCATTTAGTTCAGTTCCTACCTTGAAATAAACTACAAAGCACTTTGCTGCTGTAAATACTTTCAGAGCAAACAAATTATTGAAATCACTACCTTCCCAAAAGAACTATTTGAAACATGACTTTGGTTTAGTTTCTCCTGCCTCCCTCTTGTCTTTGCTTCACACTCACTGCCTGTTGCATAGATTCCCACTTAGCTGATCACCCTATTTCCCATGGAAGAGATCCCTGGTAGCATTCAGCAGCTCTGTCTTGTGTGCTTCAGCAGAAGATGAAAGCAAGAGGCTACTCAGGCTCCACTGGGCCAGAGGGAAAAAGGCAGGGTAGGGAGGGTGTGTGTGGTGGTGCCTACTCTCATCACAGATGTTCCCAGATGATTTTTCAGTTCAACTGAGCATTTGGCTTACATTTCTCATGAAAGATCCAAGCTGCTGCTTAGTGCTAAGAGTCTGGGGAGGGTTATTTCCTGTAGAAATGTAAAACAAGTAGCTGATCCAGCTGCATCCACGCTGAAGTAGATAGGAAGCCCTGGCCACTGACATAGCACACTTCAAATTTATCTCTCTCTGAAGCAGTGTGACAAATAAGAGTTTGTTGATGCACTCTTTCTAGAGTGACAGGCAACAGCAGCTATGCACTATGCATTTCTCTTGGGGGGAAAAAAATTAGCCATCTGTGAACCATCTAATGTTTCTGACTACTTTTTTCAGTAGAAGTGAAAAGGAGATGCTGAAAAAAGTTTTGAGATGTGAAAAGGAAAGCTGGGCTACACCTGAGAAAACGGTAAAGCCTAGGGCAGTGGATTAAAAAACAACGGCTCCAGCGTATTAAAGAGCATCTGGAAAACATTTCTTAAACAAACAGAAGTGAAAACTCTGTATGGTGTTAAATCTTAACAAGCTGACAGTTGAAGGGATAAAAAGAGTTCTTATGACCCAAGGATAAACATGTATGCAAGTAATAACTATATAAATGAGACAGGAAAACTGAATATACTAGTGACATCAACTCTTCATCCTAAAAAGGGCTTTCAAATCACTAAGTCCTCCTTTTTTTTTCCCCCCCTCGATGCCATCTCATATAATCCTACTTGTAATATTAAGCTCAATTTAGAACACTTTTCAATTAGTATGAACGGATATTTTCATGCCCAACTTGTACATCAGAGAACATGATATTATGATTCAAATGCATCCAGTGTTATGTGCATGAATGGACAAGAGTGCTTAGAAATGTGCAGCAAGGTTTGAACAGATGCATGCTTTTTTCTTTTTAGTTTTAAAGAACAGTCTTTTAGACACATGAATTGGAGTTCTAAGAGATGAACTTTGCAGATATAGCAGGAATGGTTTAACCTATCACCACCCCTAACTCTCCACATCATCCCTTTATGGAGGTTATCGCACAACAACAGAGAGAAATGCATGACTTGGTTGATCTGGCTCAGCAGCACAGCATATTAACTTAAACCACTGATGAAGGTCTGGTTTGTGTGAAGACATCAGGTCATAAAGTGAACCTATTGATGCTGTGCACACAGATTTTACCAAATCTGCAAAGGGGCAGTAATTTTGGGGATGACAAACTAGATGCATCTGCACCTTTGTTCATTCAGTGAACGTGAGCAAGACCACTCAGCCAGATGGGTACACTCCTCAGATGTGTTGGCAACACTCACATTGTCCACTTGCTTAACTGGCCATATCTTCTGTTCATTCTTTTATTTCAATTGGGTCACCTGGCCATTTTTTATGCTTTGCAAAAGGCTAAGCATAAGTCAGATGTCCCAAGGCCTCCGCTGTCCATGAGTGTTTTAAAGAGTATGTAATACTGAGAAAAATAATGTAGTCATTGTAAATAATTCAGGATTAGATTTCCATCAGAAGGAAAACAAAAAAGACTGAATGCTTTAATCTCTGCATCCAGAGTTTTACTGTCACAGAGTTAGAATCCCGCAATTTTTCATAATTTCTAAGTGCATGTTATGCCTGAAAGAAGACTGTTCCAGTCTAATTCAACTCCTTGTTACTAATTTCTACTGACCTTGCTACACACATCACCCAAAAAAAGTGAAGAAAATCTGTATCTAATAGATAAGTTCCCGCTCTTTCAAATTCAGTTGTCAAATGTGGAATTCTGGTTTTAGGGAAAAAAAAAAAAAAGTGAGAGAAATTTAGAAAATAAATTTATTGTTTGAGTTGCATTTTTCATGCATGGAAGTGGGTTTAAAAAGAGAGTTAATGAAATGTGTTAACTTCAGCAGAAATCAAAACATTTTCATTTTAGAATATCCAATGAGCCCCCCCAAAAAAAATTTTGAAAACTCAAACTAAGGTGTAAAAGGTATTAGCAAGCTCCGTGGTATTTAAAATTCTACCTTGTCATAACTTGTCTGAAGCACGTAACAAGGGGGGAGGTAACTTATTTAAGAGCTAGAAAAATTAATTTAAAAAAAAACAACCTAGATTTTGTTTACTGTGTTCAGATACTCAATATCATGCTGCTGTCAGTCATGCTCTGTCCTAGCTAACAACTATTAATCTTAGTTATTATCAATTCCTCTGTGATGCTGAAGTGTTAAAACCTGTAATATCCTAAATGACTGCTACAAATGCATTTAAGATAATAACAGCTCACAATGTGCAAAATCTTACTGTAAAAAATGCCAATAGCACACAGAAATCACTGATAATATCTACTATGTGGGTTTATTATACTTCACAGAACTCATTGAATTTACCAGGCAAAACTAAATGTAAATTTTGTCCCCATTCTTCTAAGAGACAGCAAATCTGAGAAACTACAGCTTTGAGAAGGTGAACTACTCTGCATTTAAAGTGCATATATAAAGCGAAAAAAGTAATACTGAAATGGCTAGACCATACATTTGAAGTATGGTAGATTTTATATGTGGAATTTATATCAGAATAGAATCCATTGCATCTTGTAATTCCCATGTTTTGCTGTACTTCTGAGAGAGCAAGCACTCAGACAAGACAGCATTGGAAGTGGTGACATCTTTAGTGCTTATTCAGTTGTACTAATGTCTCTCAGATGCAGAGTATCTTTCCAGCCACCTCCTGTTTGCTTCTCTTTTCCCTTTCTCCTTCTCTTACACACACACTTGTGTACCCAGTGCTGTCAAAATTTGGAAAGTCCACATCCAGGCCAAAACCTATTTATCATTAAACTAAAGCTTTAAACAAAAAAGACACTAAAAACCACCCAAACAAAACAACAATACCAAAGAAAAAAAGAAAAAACATCAAACAGGGGGAAATAACCAGCAACACTCACTTTTTCCTCTGTCTTCCTCTCTCTAGCATCACAAGAAAATAATTGCTTCCCTGAAGTATATAAAAAGCCTGAAAGTACAGCAGTGATCTTCAAGCATACATGTGGGAAGAAATCAAATAATAACCACTAAGAGGAGTCAAACGTGTTCAACACACTGTGCAAAAGCACATCTAGTACTTGAGACAGAGCAATAAACTCATTTAAGGTGTTTGTGAAGAAGGAAACTGCTTTTGTACTCAGAATACGTACATAGCCTACTCACTCAGATAAAGAATCCTCCTGCTGCCAGCTCAGACCTTTCCCCAGCCCCTCCCTGGAAGGCTGCTAGTATACACAGGCCAGCTGATACCTTTATATTCCTCAAGAAGATAAGCTTGAGACCTAGCTAACCTCTCTCAGAAATAAAGTCTTCAGCACACTTGTGTCCCCCATTTCCCTCCTACCCAGTCTTCTTCAATTAAGGTTAAAAACTGTAGGGAAGCACATGGGTGCAGCTGAGGTGATGGACTGTTTTCTGCAGCTCCAACTCCTATCTGTTCTGTCATTTTTCAGCTGTAAATCTGATCAGAAACATACTTTTCCTGCCAGAGGAAAAGGATGGCATGGAGGCTACACAGAGGAGCCAGTACTCGGCAGGAGTAACCTCATATCTCTCAGGTGAGGTGTGTTTTGCTTTTGCACTCCAAACTTGCAGGTATTTGTCCTTTCCACAGCTGTCTTCTATTCATCAAGTGGATATTGGAAATCCTTTTGGTTAAAGTCTAGCACCTAATTTTCACTGTTCCCCTCATTATGTATTACTCATAAAAGTTTTAATCTTTGGGTATTGTTCAGACTAGGTTTATTTTTCTCTTCCAGTATTTCTCTATTTGTGTGTGTGTCATCTAATGTAAGGGTGGCACTGGTAATTGCAACCCTTCTGTGGAAATGCTCAGTAATCACTGCAGTAAACCTTGCATAACATCCAGAAAGCAGCTTAGAGCTGGCTCCAGGCAGCCTTCATTTACATATCCAAATGTATTTTTGTAGAGCTGAACTAAACATGTGTTAATCAGTCAAGTCATACACTCAAAACTACCATGTCCTCAGCTTCTTTTCCACAATGAAGCTCATCCTTACAAGGGAGATGGAATTTACTACTAGGCTGTCGGTTACCATCAAGCAGAAGCCCTTCTGCCCAGAAAGCACACAATAATTCCAAACCAAACCTAAAATCAGCCTAGGGCAAGATACCGTCCACAATGCATAACCAGTTATACCCCTTAGGAAGAAAATAAAAAAAACACAAAAAAAAACCCACCAAGACAACTCTAACAGAAAACCAATAATTATTGTCCCTGAGGTGAAGTTTGGCTAGAGTCATGTGCCCACCTATCACCTACCTAGCTTTTTTGGCTATTACAGCCATAATATGCAGCAAAACCAAGGCCAGACAGCAAGGCAGCAAAATTTGCTGATGACATACAATTGTAATTTATTTACCACTTAAAAAAACAAAGATGATTGAAGACTTCTGAACAGAGCAAGCAGTCTAAAGAATCAAACTCTGAATCATGATTAGACAGTACATCATCGCACCAAATATATCCAGCAGAGCTACTTACAAAAAGGATTTAATTAATAGCTGACAATAATGCCCACCAGACTGAATAATGTGAATAAATATATGCAAACACACGCCTTTGTGTTTTTCAGAGACATAACCTCCTGAAATGAGGCAAGGAGGGAGGAATCAGTAAGAAACTGACAGTAAATGAGCTATAGCTCCTTCTAGGCAAAAAAAGTTCTAGAAGCAGCTCAAAATTGGAACTTTAATTAAAAGCTTCAAAAGCAAACAATAACCAAATTATAAAAAATACAAAAAGAAAAAAAAAACAAAAAAAACCAACCCAGATATAAGTAAATAGTCCAGAATGTGGAGTGTGACAGCATCACAAGGAAGGCAAAAAACATAAAAGACTAACAGTGGAAACAAGAGAATTGAAAGAAAAAAATGCAGTAGCCTTTATGAAATTAAGAAAGACAACAATCTAAAGATTGCTTGTAGTTTACTGTTGTCTTTAATTAACACAGGCAGAAGGAATATTTCCTTGAGTAATTGTTTAACATAACCTTTGCCCAAAAGGAAGAAAAAAGAAAATTAATGAAAAGAAGTTGGAACTGGAATGAATAAAACCAAATCTATTTACTGCAGAATCATCCAATGAAAAAAAATCTGGGACTGCTAAACCACAACCTCTCCAGGCAGCCTGTCCCAGCTCTCTGTAACCCTCAAAGTAAGGAAGTTCTTCCACATATTCAAGTGGAACGTCCTGTGTTGTGTCTCTTGCCCCTTATGCTGTCACTGGGATCCACTTAACAGAGTCTTGCCCCATCTTCTTGACTCCTGCCCTCATATGCATTGATAAGATCTCCTCTCAGTTGCCTCTTCTCCAATTCTCTCAGCTTTTCCTTATTAGAGAGATGCTTCAGACCCCTCATCGTCTTTGTAGACCTCCAACTGGACCCTCTTCAGCAGTTCCTTATCTTTCTTGAACTGATGAGCCCAGAACTGGAGCCCAGAACTGGACATAGTACTCCAGATGTAACCTCACCAAGGCAGAGCAGAGTGGGGGCAATAGTCTGCTTTGACCTGTTGCCCACCCCCAGGATACTAATGGCTTTCTTGGCCACAAGGGCACATTACAGTCTGATGGTCAACTTGTCCATCAGAATTCCCAGATCCTTCTCAGAGCTGCTTTCCAGCACTTGTGCTGGTGCATAGGGTTATTTTTCCCCAGGTGCAGGACCCTGCACTTGCCTTCACAGGACTTCATTAGGTTCCTCTCTGCCCAGGTCTTGCTGAATGGCAGCACAGCCTTCTGATGTCAGCCACTCCTCTCAGTTTTCTCCCATCAGCAAACTTGCTGAGGGTACACTGTCCCTTTATTCAGGTCACCGATGACTAAGTTGAATAAGACTGGACCCAATACTGAGCCATGAAGAACATTGTTAGCTACAGGCCTCCAGCTAGATGTGCAGATCATCCCTCTGAGCTCTGCCTCTGAACTCTGACTGTGAGCTCTGCCATTCAGCCAGTTCTCAATCCACCTCACTGTCCACTCATCTAATCCACGCTTCCTGGGCTTACCTATGAGGATGCTACAAGAGACAGTGGCAAAACCTTGCTGAAGTGAAAGTACACAATACATCCACTACTCTACCCTGGTCTACCCAGCCAGTCATTCCATCACAGAAGGCTATCAGATTTGTCAAGCCTGATTTCCCCTTGGTGAGTCTATGTTGACTACTCCTAATAACTTTCTTTTCCTCCACGTGCTTAGAGAGGGAATCCAGAAGGGCCTGTTCCATTACCCTTCCAGGGATGGAGGTGACGCTGACTGGCCTGTAGTTTCCTGGGTCCTCCTTGCCCTATTTGAAGACTGAAGTGACACTGGGTTTCCTCCAGTTCTCAAGCACCTCTTCTGTCTCTATGACTTTGCAAAGATGATGGAAAATAGCTTAGTAATAGTATCTGCCAGCTCTCTCAGCACTCATGGGTACATCCCAGAGGGGCACCATGGATTTGTGGGTATAAAGTTTGCCTAGATAATCTCTAACCTGATCATCCTCAACCAAGGGAAGGTCTTTTCTCCAGACTTAATCTCTTGCTCCAGGGTCTGGGATTCCTGAGGGCTGGCTGAAGCAAAGAAGATAACTAGTAAAGACTGAAGCAAAGTAACTACACTTTCTCTGCATCCTTTGTCACCAGGGCACCCATCTCATTCAGCAGGAGGCCCATGTTCCCCCCACACACACCCAAGTCTTCCTTTTTGATACTGATATACTAGAAGAAACCCTTTTTGTGGTCCTTGACATCCCTTGCCAGATTTAATTCCGAATGACCTTAGCATCCCTCGTTGCATCCCTGCATACTGCTCCTACATGCCACCCAACTGGCCTGTCCCTTTTTCACATTCTGTAAACTTCCTTCTTCTGTTTGAGTTTTGCCAGAAGCTCCTCACTCATCCACAGAGGCCTTCTGTTCCTTTTACTTGTTTTCTTACTCACAGGGATCTTGAGCTTAGAGGAAATGGTGCTTGAATATTAACAACAGATAAGGCTCTTCTCTATTTATCTATTTTTATATCTTAATATAAGTTATATAAACATTTACTTTTTTTTATTATTATTATTATTATAAGGTAAAAGCAGATTTTCTGTACTGGTTAGTGACCCTTCAATAAGAAATGCTGCCAAAGACTCCAGAATGAACCAGCTATGCAGCTACGATTGGTGCATAGCAACAGTATGTGCTATTACAAGAAAAACATATTGTCTAGGTGTAGTAGGACTGGAAAAGCCATCCACATTGTTATACACAAGCAATCTGTCACCAACCAGCTGTAGAAAGAGGTTGCAGGAAAGGGAGGGTAGGAGGAGATAATTGCTTGAAGGATGAGAAGCCAGGAAGACCACTGCAACCACAAACTGGCATTTAAAAATTGCTGAGTGAAATGACAATGCCACAAAGAATTGCCAGACTATTACCAAAAGTTCCTATCCTTTTATGGAACAGTTTGACAAGATACTGGGAGGAAAGGAAATAATGACTGGAACTGACATAGAATTTACAGTGTAAGGCTCAGAGTTAAGAGACGCCAAGGAATGACCTATCTGAGAGACAAGCTAGCAGGAGGGCATGGTACCCACCTGGTGAGGGTGCTCTGATACTAGCATGGGACACTTTATTCCACAAATAATTACCCCTTCTGGAGATTCTCAGACAAGGGGGGGGGTCCGTGGGGGAAAGTACTAGCCTTTACCCATTCTTGTTAACAAGGAGAAAGGGAAAAGCACTCCCTATCAGGCAATCAGTGTTCTACAGAAAGAAACAGCCCCTTGCAGAAAGTTCATGGCACAGAATGGCAACATATTTTGTAACTCAGATGTGAAGCTTCTGTTCCATTCTTTGCTATTAACAGCCATATTCAATTCAGCAGCCTTCTTACAGAGAACACTGCTATCTTTGCATTGCCCTTAATAAATCCCAGTGGAAGAACAAAATAACAGCAAATGAAAAGATGTAAAGCTTTTTTGACCTTTCTCAATCCAACTTTTTTATAGAAATGCAATGATCCATATCTCCAAAACGGAATATTTTAGATTATTAAAAAAATAATAATCCAATTCTATAGCCTGAGATTAGAAACACAAAATATCACATGCATGCAACATTTGCCTTGCAGCAAGGAGGATGAATTGGTGCAGGGCCTACCGAGACTTAAAGAGATGTCATTATGGTCTATTTTCAAACCAGAAAAATATAGTATATTTCTTGGCTTGCTAAATCAGATTCCAGTCCTGTCTCCTAT